TCCCACGCACCTCGGTTTGTGCGTGTCATCCTTCGCAAGGGCCATGCACACTCCTTAGTCGTGCGTGTCATCCTGAGCAGGGGTCATGCGCACAGAATCCTAAAGCCTAGCGCCTAGTGAAGACCAAACTGCCCCAAGCCGATGCCTGCGACTGTCAGATTAGAAGTGCAACCTCGCGCCTGCGAGGCCGGCAGTGTTGAAATGCAGGGTCCGATCTTTTGAACTTCTCTTTCGCTGTCCTGTTGGGCATGGCCATTCTACATCCATCGCAGTCAGGCAGCCAAAACCGCAGAAGCCGGTTTCCGTCCCGCAGGAACCCTGCATTTGTCAGCTGAGAGCCTGGCGCAGATGCTACAGGCTCGAGCCCGGAATGCAGTCTTCTAGGACTTGCTATATCCGCTAGGTGCTGTGCTTCAGAGTATGGGATGAATTTCAATCTTCAAGCTGCGGGACTGTTGGTACTGCAGGATTCGGATGCAGGCTGAGAAGCCCAGAGTCCCAGAAATGGCAGTCGAAAGTGACAAAGAGCAGATAAGTGTCTTGGGGATGGCAAGCTGCCTTCAGGCTTCTCTCGTCCGTGGCCGGTGGCAAGGCCGGATGACAAACACCACATTTGTGCCCTGCCCCTCTCATAGCCTCGATGTCGGTCGTCCCCGCCTCGGAAACCTGCAGCCCCTTTTTGAGGCGCGATCTCCATGCTCGTGATTGTTGCCAGCCGCTAAGCGATGCCGAGTGTGAGCCAGGCCTTAAGGGGGCTCCTGAGGGCTCCTGAGACCTCCTAGCTCTGTGTCGGCCTCGAGTCGCTTTTTTGTCCATCGCCGAGAACCCCAGCTGGCACTTAGGCCGGATGCCTATGCATGATGAGGACACGCCTGTGGCTTGCTGGCTAGGTGCCTTCTGCGCTTCGCAAGTTGCAGAGACGGAGATGAGATGTTCCCTGTGCCCAGAAGCCCTTGCAGAAGCCCCCCGGCCCTGGAAACAGCAACAGAAACCAAACGCGCGCTCTGAAGTTCTGGAGGCTCCGGATCCTGGCCGCCGGCTCTGCTCGAGGCCCCAGGAGCGGGAAGAGGAGAAGTCCCCGCCCAGTCCCTCTCTTCGCGGACGACGGACGACGTCCTCTTTGATACCTGTGTTTAAGCCTGTGTTTGCCTTTGTCTTGCGAAGAGGGACTGGGGGGTATCCACAAGAACTTTTTCTTCCCGCCATCTGCACCCGACTTCCAGACTTTAGTGTTTGCAGCATCGTTCCTAGCATCATGAACGCTGAAAGCATTCCGAGGAAGCAGCAATCTCGAAGTCTGGGCCATGAAGTGTCTGTTCTTCGCTGCCAAGGGTCCGCGAAATGGCAACGACCGGCTGCTACTCACCATGACAGATGGGGGTTGAGTCTTTCTTTTCGGACCTGTGCAACATCCATACGAAACACGTAGCCCATATCCTGTTAGCCCTTGCGAACGCATCCGTTCCATGATCCCGTCACAGGTGGCTCAGTATGGCTCAGTAGCTTGTCCCGCTCACATCACTGCCACCAACCGGATGTGATGCAGGGTTCGCGAGGCATGCACTCGAAAGAACTTCTCAAAGCTCTACGTGTCCGTGCCCTCGCCCTCACACCAGAAATCCCACACTGCCAGACCATGATCTCCCAGAGCACTGAAAAGTCAGGCAACCTGTAGGGTGATGCGGCCCAATGCAGCGGAGCTTGACCGGAGGTCAGCTTCATCTCGCAGACAACAATCATTCTTCTCGTTTCTTGAAGGGAGCTGAAGATTTCAAGTGCCACCCGCTTATCCCATGCGGATCGCCAACCTTGGCGCATAATCCCTTCTTCGCACTGGCTGCATTGGTCAGCTTGGTTTCCAAGTTACCGCACATCTGGGTTCACTCTGATTCTAGTGACAAGCCCCAAACGTCCAGTCTCCAGCTTGGACCCTAAGACGTGCTCTAAATTTAGAGTTGTCACTCCGTCACTCCTCTTCTCCAGGTCCCTTCAAGCATTTACACATGTCGTGACTCGGTAATCGGGACTGTGATGGATTCGCTACGCTTTCCCACTGCGATGCCCGAGACGCTGGAAATTTCAAGGCTTGTGAACTACGAGTGTCTATCGTAGTGCAGTTTGGGCAGCTCAAGGACAGTTTCAGGGCTTGTATGCCCATGGCAAGCGGATTGCAGGTTGATGCAGGAGGGTAGCCACCACCTCCACCTCCACCTCCGCCACCTCCGCCACCTCCGCCACCTCCGCCACCTCCGCCACCTCCGCCACCTCCGCCACCACCACCACCACCACCACCACCACTACCACCACCACCACCACCACCACCACCACCACCACCACCACCACCACCACCACCACCACCACCACCATCACCACCACCACTTTTTTTGCATCAGCATCTGGCGGTCGCACTACCATCACTTACAGAGATGCGGCTTGGAAGACATGTCCGTTTGGTCCATGCAATGTGGAAGCAGGGGCACAGAATGTTCCTGTCGTCTATGAGCAACATGGGGATGAGTCTCTCGTGCGAGGCATCAGCAGTCGGGACTTTGATGGGAGAATCCGATATTCTGTCAAGCTGGGTAGAGCCCTTGCCCTTGTCATCATGCTCGATGAAGCCGACAAGACATGAGGTATGCCTACGTCGTGATGAGCCTTCGTAGTCCATGCGACTGGTTTTGCTGCCGTGGTCGTAGTTCTCCTCGCAGTCGTGGTCGTAGATGCTGCTGCAGGTACTCCAATGTTCGCTCGTGAACTGTCTCCCCCCATGAGAGCCAGCGTCGACACCCGTCATCCCTTTTGCCATGCCCCATGGATACTGCGTTGAGTACAGTGACGAGCCTGACAGTTCATACTCAGTTTGGCGATGATGTTCATGGTCGTGACGGTGCTAGTTGTGATGATGCTGCCAATGATAAGAATTCACTAGAGGACCGTCGGCAGCATCAGCATCTACTGCATTTTGGTCAGCACCATCATCTTCATCGTCAACCCCTTATCGACACGCTCAAAAGTCGCCTTCGTCATCATCATCGTCATCATTCCCACCAGCATTGATCATGATGGTTTTGATGATGTTCAGCACCATCATCATGCGTTTAATTCCTTAATTTTAACGCTACGCCGCCCGCCTCGGCTGTGTAGCGGCAGGGTGAGGGGGCAGTCGATGTTTTTTTATGCTAGGGCGGCCTGTCAAACCCGGTTGTTGATACGAAGTGCGAGGAATGGGTAGGGGAGGGGGGGGAGGGGGAGGGGGGGGGGGGGGGGTGGGAGGGGGGGGGGGGGCGGGGGGAGGGGGGGGGGAGGGGGGGGGGGGGGGGGGGGGGAGGGGGAGAAATCAGGTAAAATGAGGGGAAGCCGGGCAAGGGTGTGGCAAACGAACGCAAAAAGTGGGTGTCCCCAAACATTTCGAATGCAGGCAGGAGGGGAGGGGGGGAGGGGCGGGGGAGGGGAGGGGGGGGGGAGGAGGGAGAGGGGAGAGGGGGGAGCGGGGGAGGCCTGGGAGGGGGGAGGCCGACAAATCAGGTAAAATGAGGGGAAGCCGGGCAGGAGGTGGCAAACGAACGCAAAAAACGGGTGTCTCCAAACACTCAGGGAGAAGGATTAGGTGGAGGGTACCTGAGGTAACCCCCAAGACGCCTGGGCCTCTGGCCTCGGCGGATAAACATTAAATCAAATGAGTCTGTCATACTTTTCAATACATCAATAAACTGTTCGTGTTGATACTGTTTCAATTTATCTTGGTAGTCATCAGGCAGGGTCATCGCGTCAACCCTTGTTGCACTGACATATGTCTAGCCAACAGTATTCTGTGATGAGCAGAGTTGCATGAGATGACTCGTTTGGTAGCGCAGCGTCGTGGCAACTTGTGAAGCCTCAGTCTGAATCTACGTAAGCGGGCTCTACCCACCGTACGCTTGCACGGAGAGCAACTTCACAAAGCGGCCGTGAGATGAAGTCCCTATCTAAGCAGAGCTGTGCTGAGTCTATGGGCCCTTGGTGGCCCTTGGTGGCCCCAGCCTTCAGTTGCCCTCCGTTACAGCAAGTGCATGCGAATCGATCTTACGAAGCCTTCCTCCTGCAGATTTGCGCTCTGTCTTTCTAGACTATCCGGAAGTGTCAAGTTGAACCTCGAGGGAAAAGCGCAGTTGCAGGAGCAGCTCAGGAGCCGCAGCCTTGAAGAATTGGAACACCCGCATCCGAAGCAGCGATAAGACGCTTCGCTCTTCACCGCGGCCTCTTGAGCTGATCGATGCATTTTCCACACTGCGTCAGAAGGAGGCCGTTCTCGGAAAGTGGGCACCCACATAGTAAACACAACAAGAGCTCGGGCGCTTATAACACATCCGCTGGTATGTAGCAGGCACGAACAGAAAGTCACCACGATGATGCTGTTGGCAACAATGGTCGCCAGGATGATCGCGATGTTGGAGACGGTGATGGTGAGAGAGGATGTACCAGCAGTAGTGACAGCCGCCGTCATCATCGCATTAGGGATTGTGGAGTCGCCGTCTCGTCACCATCAGCATCAGCATCATCATCAGTATGATCATGGTCATCAGAATCAATTAATATAAATTATCGTTTCTGAGACATAGGCACCATCCGAATCATAGAGCACTGTTCAGAATCATTTTTTCAGATTGGGCCGCAGTCGTAAGTCCTTCCCCGGTTTCCCCTCGATCCCCATCCGTGCATGTAACACTCGTGGCCCAGAGCCATCTTCCGCGCTGTGCCCATGACTTCGTGAATTCCGCCGATGCGTTGCCTGCGCATGGCACGTGGCGCCTCTATTTATCGAGAAAAGCTGCGCTGTTTGGGCCTTAAGACCTTCCTCGGCTTCCCTGGAAGCTGGCAAGAGACGATTGAAATTGCAGTCTAAATCCCATATTCCATTGGTTGCACGAGAATCCGAAGGCTGTGCCTCGCAGTCAAGTTTCGCTAGCCCATCTATCCCCCAAAACCAAGACGCACGTTGGGGCGGGCAGGGGTGCTGGCAGGTCGTCCGGAGCAGGATGAAGACCTCCGCCTGGTGCTGAAGTTATCGGTCATCGGGATTTGCCTATGCTTCGTCAGCAGCATAGCTTGTGGGTGAGTTCACGACTGTCTTAAGCTTTACGAGCTCGGGTGGTTTTTGCCGGGCTGTCATATGTCCCATCTTCACCCTCATCGTCATCTTCATTCTACTCCTCCGCATCATCATGGTGATGGTCGTCAACGAGCACTACACGTAGTATCCCAGGCAGCGCTCAAGTCGGGGCTCAGACACCTGTTTCGCAGCGTCGTGGCTTTCCCAGACACAGATAGCTGCGTGCTGCCTTTGCCGGAAGTTTCCTCTCTCGAAGGTGCAGCCGGCACGGTTCTTGCGTTTTGTGTTTCATCGTGGCCGTTGTGCGCGTAGCGCGGCGAGTGATTCGCATGTTTTCTCTGTCCAGCCCCAAGTTTGTAGCAGGAATTCGTGCCGTCTGCTCCCCTCTTCTCGCAGGTGCCCAGCATGTTGCAAGCGATGTGCTTCGCAGTTGCACTCGCCACTGTGGCCGCGAAGTCAGGGAAGGGAGGCAGGAAGGGCTACGAGCATTGGAAGAAGCTTAGGCTGTGTGTCTCAGCAATTCGTCTTGCCGATGTTTTTTTCCTTTGATTCTGGAGGTCTTACCACTTTGAAGTCGCCACTCGATGAATCTGCCTGGGAGGCTTGGAGTGACGATTGCTTTGAGTGTTGTTCCCAGCAGTCATCATTCAGCAACAAGCAGACAAGTCCTAGATGGGCCATTGAACCTAAGAAGAGTCAAACTCGACATTACCCAAAGTACCTTTACGTGTAGAGCAACAGATGGCCTGCCAGGCAGTACCTTCTGCACGTCCGTGAACATTAGTCGCAATGGTTCGGAGCGCAGCCCCAAGATAGGCTTCGTGCACATATTGTTTATGGCTTGAAGCGTACCTGCAAGCGGAGAAGCGTTCTACATACTCTGCAACTCTCACGTCCACAAGTTTATCTCGTCCAAACGAACATAAACAGAGTACAGATGGGTGCTGCTGGGATTCTTGAGTGTCTGATAGAGAGACTTTGGTAGCAGATCTTCGGTGACCAGAAGTAGGATCCATGGCTGTTCGCAGGGCGTGCGTGCCGCAGATGCCATGCCGGGCTTTAATGTGGAGGCTGCGGGTGTCGGTCAGCTACACACTGCCACGCTGCGAGCGTCCAAGCAAGAGCGCCCCAGAAGCCTTCCGCGACACAGGTTCTCCATTCAACTTCCTGCTCCAAGAAGGCTTGCCCAAGGGATTGTGCACTGAGACTTTTGTGGACCAAGTGCTGTTCACGCCTTTCCTCTTTGGCTGAGTCAGCCCGTGGAAGGTGCGCCGAGGTGACGAGGCTGGAAGAAGGGAGTGTGGCGGGTGGCGTAGGATTTCTCATGTATTCACGCATAGGTCTTTGAATTACCCAAGCATGGTCAGAGGTCCAGGTGAAGATCGGCCGAAGTGGAAGATTTTCAAGAGTCAAAATTTTCGAGCCGAGGTATTTTTGTATCGCGTAACTGTCGGTGAGAAGGTCCAGATTTTCTTCGGTGCTGCAACCGGGCAGCAGCATGTGGAGGCCAGCTGTACAAGACACTACAGGTGTCGCAGTGGCTCTGTCCGTGTTTTCTTGGCCTCAGTGGTGCATGAAGAAGCATGAAGTCGCATTCCGCTTCTTTCGCTTCGTTGAGGCTCCGAGTTCGGAATTTTAAGGGGCAGTTTTCCTAGTCCCTGGCCCTGGCAACCCCGAGCCGAAACCCCATCCCTGTCTCCAGCAAGCGTCCTCCCGCGGCTTGGCTGAGCAGAACTTCATCGTGGGAAAGTCTGGGCCTCAGAACGCTCTGAGGCTGCGGAGTTAGGTGGGGGGGGGGGGCTCATGAGTTTCTGAAGCACCAACCTTTGTCAAAATGCTCAACCAGCCTTGTTGTGGAAGGCCCTGAAGCGAATCGAAATCGACGGCCAGCCCCACTTTTCGGATACCCGCCTTTGAACAGAAGCTACGGAGATGAGTGCGAGGTCCACACTGGTCCTTCCATCACAGCCCCTAGAAGCTCCAACAGGGGACGGCACCGGTTATGCGCTAAAAGCCAAAAACCCTTCTCCCGTCCAGGCACAACGTCCCAGCTGTCAACAAAGCCATTGTTGGCATGTGTCCAGGAGCTTGTTAACCCTTGAGCAGCTTCTATACTATTTCGTGGGGAGCACTGGATCTTTTACATGCACATGTCTTGCGACGATCTCCAGAGTTCTGCAAGTGTTTGCAGGGAACCGCTCTTGAACACCCGGTGTTCCCCAGACCTTTGATTGATAAACCTGACGTTGGTGCCGCTGCAGTGCTGTGTACACCAACGTAGAGGGAAGCAGTCTTTGATGCTATTGCCTTGCTTCGGCCCCGCACACGTGCTAGGAGAAATGCGTCGCATTTCGGTGAAGTCACATGCGATTGACTACACCGTGAATTTGGTGAACATCACCGGTTGCCTGGCTCACTGGACACGCGCCTCAGTCTGTGGCGCGAAAACTTACGGGCAAAAAGGAAGATCCTTGCATCAGACATCCCTGACTGGTAGTTGCTTTCAGTGCTGATGTTCGGAGTGTGTCACGCATTCGCACTGCTTTCTGCCTACTTTCCACCCAATCACCCAATCCAAGTTGGATTTTCTTAGCGGTCTCGATCGCTCATCTAAGGCGGGCCCCTGCGCATCAAGGATGCCCTATGAAACTACCGCCCTGCATGAAATGTGCTGGAAGGGATCGGGGACTTTGGCCTCATGTGACTCATGCGACAACGTGCGTAGCTTTGGCGCACAACAGTATTTTCGAGGTGTAGGTCCCAGATTGCGAGTGTAACAACGTCTCCTGCGCCCTTCAGCACCGCTAACTCCAGTAGTTAATTCGATAGGAGATTCAGCTGCTCTACAGCCTTTGATGTTCACTCACAATACCCTGCCGAGCTTTGTTCTGGTACCTGCCACCCTTGGTGGAGTGAAGCAGCTATACCTGGATCTCGATGAAAGGGGTATGCCTTTACCACGCCGAAGCATCTAGTTTGCACACTGGCGTTGTTGATTCGGGCACGGATCTGGACATGCAAAGCGGACGTCCTAAAGGGGCATCATTGGAGACAGAGCCTCTTGCATGCCTCATTGCATTCTGTCCGCACTGGTCAGACTATTCGTGCCCTCAGTTCTACGGTTCTGATGCACAGCGCCTATCCTAAAGGGCGACGGGGCATTTGCAGAGGGTCCAGTGGCGAAGGGTGAGCGCGCCGCTGCGACCCAGAGAGTTCCAATTCGTCTAGATTAAGCGCTGACGATCGAAGTCCTAACGGCGAGAAGCATCAGCTACGACAGGTCAAGGAAGCGGGACGGCATGGGGCCTGGGACTTCGGACACGCAGTGCAGAAAGACTGTGCTGACAACCCCACATGGGGCAGGTCGGCGAAACCCGGTGCAGCAAAAGAGCGCACGACCAAGGCATGTTATCCCGCTGCCATGCCTCGCCCATTCTGGTTACAACCTGTCGAAGATAGCGAGTGCTCCGGCTCCAACGTGGAGCTTCCAACACGTCTCGGCTCACGTAGACTTGTGCCTGCACAGATTGTGCCAGGCTCTGCTCAATGTGCTTCGCTTCGCCGTTACCCTGCGACTTTAAACCCAGGTCTCTGCAGCCGCGGCTCGACTTCCAAGGCGCTACGGGCTGCAGGGCTCTGCGTGTGATGGTATTCGTAGAGGAAGCCCCTAGGAAGATAAGCGGCAGCGGTGATGCAAGTGTGGCATCGGGGCAACGTTTCAAGACTTTTCAAGCAGCTTTAGTGTTCTCCGAGGTCGGAGGTGGTGAAATCCCTGGCAAACGCCTTGGTGAGCTGACTCGGAGCTTAGAAGCGGTATCCCTTCCATTCCAGGGTGACAAATAACTTGGCCACAGGTGGAGATCTGTGTTTGAGCTTCACCACCTGGGGTCGTAGCATTCGTGATCGATCTGGCCAGTGCTTTCTTGCGAACATCGCGAGGGCTTGCGTGCTGCTGTGACTGCTGAGCAAAAATACCCACGATGACCGCTGTCATGCTGCGTGTGCACAACCACTTTGAGTCTACGGAGTTCCAAGAATTTTCTATCGGCTGAGCTCTCCCACGCAGGGAAGTCGCTGCATTACCATCGGATCTGACTTTGCCGCGAATGACTCTCTGGAGGCCGAGCCTGGCTCAAGTCCCTGCTCTTGTCGCTGTGTCGATGTGACTTCTTCGAGCGAAATCCAATCGCAGTCACCGGCTTGTCACAGCATACCCGGTCCGATGGAGGTCCATTTGTCCCGAGAGACAGAGAGAGCCTGTGCTAGGCACATCTATCCATCGGAAAGCTTTGCCCGGAACTTACGCTCCTGTTTCTTCTTGGCTTCCTGAGTGCAGCCCGAAACTTCTAACAGTCGGGCGGCATGGACCTTGGGATCCGGGCTTTGCTGTTCATACTTTCCCTTACGTGGAGGCCACGACTAGCACAGAGGAGTCTTCCAGCCTTGTGGTCACCCGGTCCCTGGTAGTCCCTACAGCCCCAATCCATGGCAAGCGGATACCCTCCGCAAAACTCCGTAAACACTCCGAAAGTTTCTCGCAGGTCCACGAGCGCGAACAGGAGCTCTTCAAGTGCCCTTTGCCGCCGGGGAGTCTACTGGGGCCAGATCTGTTGCAAGGACTAGGCCGAGTTCGGGCTGCATGTTCCGTGCGCGGGGGGTTGGAAGTCTGCCCACAGCAGCGGGTCCTGGTGTCGGAGGTATTTGTCTCGAGCTTTGCACGCGGCGTCGGAACAGGCGCGGAAGGACCTCCCACGTCAGAAAGAGTGCCCGACCCCGTGAGTCCAGGCGGCGGCCGACGACCGCTGCACGGATGCAGCCGACGTCTGTCGGAAGCTGAAAGGTTACGAGGGGGGCCCGGGGCTGCGGCCGAGGTTTAAAATTGGCATAGGCTGGTTCTCAGGCGTTGAAGTCTTTCAGCGCACACCTGGGGCAACCGGGCAACAGTCTTTGCAGGCTTGCAAGAGGCATGAAGATTTCACTGCAACTCCTCTGAATGTTGCGTTGAAGGTTTGCCGTTCTCCAATGTGGAGCTTTGGATGCGCCCCACTCTAGGATGCAAGACTTTTCAGCAAATCTCAAGAGGCCACGAGTCCTGCATTGCGCTTCTGCGGAATGCCATCCTCTTCAACGAAAAACCACGAAGGGGTCTTGTTGTTGTTTTGCAGTTCCTCGACAGTTCCGACAAGCAGCTTTAGCCTCGAACAACCCAAATCTAACGGAGCTGTTTCAGCATCAATGCCTGGCCCAAACCTCCGGGCCGATGCTGGGGAGCTGTGTTGTTCCCGCTGTGTTGATCTAGCTGAGCCGCACTGCTGTTGCCTTGCAGGTCACGCGCTGCCGAGTTTCTTGGGCCTGCAGAAGGCCAGCGGCCGCGGGTGTTCGAGGATCAAGAAGACTTGTCAGGGCTAAGGCGGTCTGCTAAGCTACTGTTTGCGAGATTTGGCGCATTCCGTTTCTGCGTGGGCTGGAAGTTGAGGACGAAATCAGTGGTGATTTTGTTTTCACGAACGTTTCCGTGGCTATTCCCTGTTGCTATATTCGGACGAATACGATGATCACCATCACCAGCATCTTCACTTGCAGCACATTGCCATCATACTGTTCTCCGGCTTGTAGGGAGTGAGGAGTGCCGCTAGAGCAAGAGAAGTGCAGACTTACGAGTTGGGCCTGGTTCTTTGATTCTAACAAGTTGGCTGCCTTGCCCAGCAAGAACGCTTGTGTGCATCCGAAAGACCCACATACGCTTTCTGACACTATATCCCGCAGCAATTTGCTTGCCCGCTTGCTTCACCGTTCCCCGCGCAGGAGCCGCGAGTGTAAGTAGAGAGTTTGCTGTTCGCGGTCTGAGGTCTGTGAGCTCTGTGCCCTGCTTGGGTTCCTGGTCTTGAAGGGGAGCTGAAGTGCTGCGTCCGAAGTCCGAAGCTTGTGCGAGGAGAAAGATGGGCAACACCAGCTGCGCTTGCCTTGCTCCCCGGATGATCTGGTTGAAAGCACATCTGGCTTTCCTTAGCGGCTGTGTCACTGCAGGCTTACGCTCCCCCAAAGACTAATGGAAAGGCGGCTGAAGTCGCTCTAAGTATCTGAGAAGTGAGGACTGACGCAGCGGTCATCTCCACCCCCCCCCAGCGCCAGGTTGTTGCATCCTCTGCTCTGACATATGACTAGTTGTCAAAATTAGGGTCCCTTTCGGGATACCCTAAATAATTGGTGCCGTATTATGTTAGGGACCCAAAAAGGGACCATAATTTTGACAACCACCCATATATTGTCACCCATGTGAGCTTTTCTTCTGGAGCTCCATGTCGTACCGAGCACGGCACGCTGTCACTCCTTCGCCCGAAGGCCTTTCCAAGGCTTCGGCCCCTGAGCCCGAGCCTGGGTTCCCCCAGGCGAAAGTTGAGGAGGCTCCTGTGGAGTACTTGCCTGACCTGGCAGAGGCAGGGAGGGAATTTTGCAGAAGCTCAAACGCAAAATCTCCTTCTAGGCTTCTGGGCTCTCTCTATGCCGATGAGTGCCTGAGGACTTGCAGGAGGACATCGTAGCTCTGGCTCCCATCGCGGAGGAAGTGGCGGAGGCGGGCTCGCTTTGCCAAGGGACGCTTCTGTGATTCTCGTGGTGAAAGCTCCAGGCAAACGCCATGAACAGCGTCGAGGAGCTGCCCACGCTCCTGAAGGCCTGCATCAGCTGGAATGCGAGCAAAAGAATGGAAAGGATCTCAGATTTTTGTCCACACTGAGCTGCCTTCGTCTCCTGACATTCAGAGAGTCCCAGAATTTGGCTGGTGTCCTCAGTGTTCAAAGCACCAAGATCAAGTTGATCCAAGAATGTCCCTGACACAGCTCGTGAATGACCAGCGCGACCTCAATATCGATGACATCAAGGCCAGCATAAGTTCCTCGAACTCTTCAAGGTTAACGGGGCGTCTCGATGTCGGTCCGTGGAAGGTGCCGCTGGCACTCGCGAAGCCTGCGAAGCAACTTGAAAGGGCAGCTTGCCTGCATATCCGGGCTTGATTATGACCCTCAGCTGGCATTTCGGCTGCTTGAGGCCCCCTGCTATTCGTCACTCCAGGGGTCTACTCGGGGTCAGTTTTTTTCTTTCCCTGTTTGCAAAAATCTTCCTCGGCGTCGCCAAGGCACAAACCGACAGCCTGGGTGAGCAGCGACCGGCCACTTTGGCTTCAGTCGTTTTGAGGGTTTTGGGGTGTCCTTGAAAAGGAGGTTCTTTGTTGCCGGCTGCGCTTGCACAGCAAGGAGACCATGAGCCCGTAGGGCACAACAGCCTAGCTTGCAACGTCCCCCAGACCCTAAGCCCCAAGGTGCTTTCTCAAAAGAAGGAGCTTTGAGAACCAATCCCTCATGATCAAGCGTAGCTACAAGGCAGCAGCAGTAGAAACAGCAATGGTAGAGACTAGAGACTGTGCTCATTGTAAACCCGCTGCCAGGGCTTCCGCCGAAGCCTGACGTCGCCGGAGAACTGGGCAAAGGGCGAGGCACGGCTACGAAGCTGCTCGGCCGGGTCCGGTCCCGCTCTCCGCCTTCGTTTCTCGCTCGAGACCGCTTCAAGCCCAGGTGGAGTGAGGAAGGCTGCTGCACCTCGTCTTGGATTAGGCCCATGATTAGGCGAAGCTGACAGGAACCACCGAGTCACGGGATCTTTCTTTCATGCCCTGCAGTTCCCTATAGCGTGAGGCAGCACGTGCTGACTAGAGTTTTGATGAAGGGGTTTCAGCCTTCATGAAGTCTTCGCTTCTGTATCTTGAGATGCAAACCCTTCTTGCAAGCCGTCTTTACTTTGCTTTTGCTGGGGCTTTGGGCAATCTCTGGCCGGACTAGAGAAGGTATGGCAGCTGCGATGGCCGTGTCAGAATCGTGCTGCCAAAGCACAAGAAGAATACGTGCTCAACGCAGATGCATCTACACCCTGACTTGTGCTCCTTGCGATGCCCTGCGAATCATCTAGTTGTGACGGCACATCTTTGTTTTGCCTGGACCCAGACCCCGATCAGAAAACAACACTTCGCCCCAACAGCTCGCCGCACATCTGGGTCGGCACAGCTGACTCGTGTGTCTCGGGCGGTGTGCGGCCTCCAAGGGCAGTGTGATGAATGCCCTCTCGGCGTCAAGAAATTCTCAGATGCTGTGTGCGAGTTTCGGAACCTCAGCTGCAAAAGTACTCTTGCTCGCAGCACATGCTGCACACCTTTTGAAATTTTGTTCTTAAGTTACTGCACACCTTGAGAAGTTTTTTCTGCGTGCCATTGAATGTGAGCGCAGACGCATGGAAGCCTTGTAGAGTCTTGCGGAGTCTTGCCTGGGGATCACTCACGGGAAGCCGTAAGCCTCCAGGAATGACCTCCCAGTATCATCGCAGTCGCTCGTCTCTGGCCTGAGCTCAGAGGCGCTGGCCGAGCGGACTCTTAGGGGACGTCGCACTTCAGGTCGGTTTAAGGGCGGCAATACGGTGAGATCCTGGTCAAGTCGGTTCCCTTCCTGATGGAGCATGGGCCAGCGCTGAGATGACGTGTCCGGCGCTGCAGAGTCCCCTGTGCGAAAGATGTCTTTAGCTCTCATCTCTTGCTGCTGCATCTGCCACTTTTGGCAGCTACTTGACGAAACGCAGTTACCACTAGCATCATTCCGATGATCTTCCCAACTCTACTCATGGGAATCGTTCCCCAAGCGTACGAGTAGTCTTTATCATGCTCGGATCGCGAAATCCGTTGATCATGCCATGCCCAGTAATCAGGATACACTAGCTGACCAACAGCACCCGAACTACAAATCGAGAGTAGTTCACACGTGGGTGACGATGCACATGAAGCTCAAATGCTGCGGGCAGCGCTAGCGGTCGGTAGTGGTATAGTGTAGCAAGAGCTTTAGAAGTAGCCGTAGTCGAAGTCGTTGTTTGAAGTCGTCACAGTGCTAGCTTCCGTTGCGGCAGCGGCGGTGGCGGCGGTGGTGGTCAGATACATGCCTCCGTAGCGCACCAGTCATGCAACTCTAGGTGCCCGGAGGCAAGAGCGGATTGCAGATTAGATGGCTTGGTTGTTGCATTGGTTCCGGTTCCCGGTTTGCTGTTCGGCCAACTCGGTGATGTGAATGATGCAAGTGCGATTGATTGCCGGATCAACGCTGCAATATGAATGTCAAGCGAGTTAATCAATCGAGATTGCACTTGAAGCAAGATCCTTTATTAGTATGCGAGTCGGTAGAAGCTCGAACTTCAAGCAACCCGAGGTTTCAGTTCAGCCCCGTAACGCAACCAACCTGTATTCCAAGGCTCTTGTTCCTGAGCTCATATTTCAGGGATGTTCGACTTTCATTCAATTCTTTTGCATAACTTGTACGAGATTGCGCCTGACACGATGCAGGAGAATTCGGATTCTTAGCTACCAGACAAGGGAGTTCAGTGCGCACAGAGAAACGACCACAGCTCCGCAGCCTCTGGTCCCAACAATGCAACCGTAAGACAGCATGGCCTCCAAAGACAGTTAGAACCTGTACAACACTTCGTCATAGGAGCGGGCTGGCAGCAGTCTAAGACAACTTTTAGGGATTTAGAAATTTCGGGATATCGTGCAGCGATGGGGGAGTAGCTGGTGTTTCTATCTCAGCTGTCCTTGGGCCATCTGGTGTGCAGCAGTGACAGTCGGCTGCACGCCGAGGGTACACCGATTCTCAAACCTTTACAGCACAAGGCTTTACTCCAGCTCTGTTGAACAGACTCGGTGCAAAGAGAGGTTTTACAGCGCGGTCGGGGGCCTAGGGCCTAGGGCTTGTTGGGACGTCGCTGTAAAGAATCCCAGAGCCAGGTCGTAGCCACCAGCTCTGGGTCGGTCGTGTCTCTGAGAGCTCTCTGTCTGCACAGCACCTAAGGCGAAGGTGCCGGTTTCAGGCTGCTTTGGGGAGAGCACAGGTTTCATCAGCAGCCTGGGAGGGCATCTTCGTACTTTCTTTTATCACGTCTTCCACCAGGGGATCATCGCCTGTCAGCGCTCCAAGCTCCTGGGTCCTGCCAGATCGCAACCTAATCCTCACCTACCTCCAGCTAGAATTTCGGGTGCCGCCGAGCCATGAGGTCATGATACTTGGATGCCTACTAGAGCAGCTAGGGTTGTCGTGCAGCACGGACCTAACAAATCTCCAGAGTCGTTCAGGGCTGTCATCCACACCATCGGAAGCCCCTTTCTGTGCCGGTGATCCCACTGCTTCTTGCGGGCTTTCATCTCCAGAAATGTTGGGAGCAATGCCAGGTTGCGAGCGAGTTTGATCACCGTCGTCATCATCATCATCACCATCATCATTGCCATCAATACTGTCGTCACGACTTGCAACGCATCGCTCCGACGTTGACTGGAAATCGCAAAGACCTGGCAGGGAGGTTCCTCAAGTAGTTGTTACTGCGAACCTCCTGCCGACCCTGTGGAACTAGCCAGAGTATCCGCACTGAGCAGCGATGCCGCACAGACACTGGCAGACCTTCAACCTCAAGGACAGACCGCAAAGGGAGGGGTTGGTGTTGGCCGACATTTTCACAAGCTCCTCTACGCTTCGATTCTTTCCTTGACCTCCACCTGTTCCTTTCTCTGAGTTGTGCGGCGACGAGTTGATGGAGCTGCGTGTCGCGTTCTTTGGACCAGCCGAAGAGATTGACTGCGTTGTACAGCCGCTTCAGACATGTCGTCAGAGCCTGCATACCGTCTTCTGGTTTCAACGCTACCTCAAAGTCCCTTGCAGAAACTTGTGTTAAACAGCTGCTGAAGACTTGAAGCCTTCCGGTCTTTCTCTTCTGCGCAGGAGAAGAAGCCGAATTTTGATGCCACCCTGGATTTTCAGCTTTACGATTTGCGGTGCGGCGCTGGTAAACATGCTGAGGTGCATGTCTCTGAGGAGATGCAGTGATGGGCTTCAGCTGTTCAGGGTTGATCCAAGAAACGCTTAGACCGCTCCAGCGTTTTTCTTCGTTGTGTTTTCTCCACCTTGGGCTTGAAGGGAGTTGTGGGGCCGCAGTGGATCATGTGGAATTTCGTACCTCAAATCGTTGCTGATTCAGACGCTAGCGATTGCATGGGCCTGCGGGCTATCACAGCAGAAGTTTCGTGCCGACAGAGCGGATGGACCAGACGCTACTGTAGGCCCTAGAAGTGGGGAGTGCCCACAAAAACCAGAGCTTTGCAGCTTGTGCAGCAAGGAAGATGGGTCAAGGTTTGGCCGCAGGGCCACAAAGATCTTGGAACACAGTAACCGAATCTCCTGCCGGTGAGCTCGTGGTTGGCAGATGAAGTCTCCCTTTGCCTGCACCTGCGCTTGGGCTGACTTTTTGGGGCTGAGACCTCGGGGAAAAAGGCAGTGGGTTTCGCGGTGGCTTTTTCTCAACCTTTTGTGGCCCTAATTGCGGGTGTAGGTGGAGGGGGGCCCGCAGTTTTTAAAGGGCCAAGAAGACGAACATGCTTGCCGCTGCAGATGCGAGCAGTGAAGGGATTACGGACCTTGGGCCATGGCTGCCGAGGTTTCACGAATTTGTGCAGTTGGCTCGGTACCCCTTCCTTCCTAGGTCCTACTGCGGCCTGACTTGCTGCGATTTCGCAGAGGTATGTGCATAGCCGTCTATTCTGGGTTAGTGCCGCTCCTCTAAACTCTAAACACGGCCAGATCCGAACCTTCGCCAAGGGCCGGAGACACCTCTCACGACTCAAGACGAAAGGGTTCATTCAGCTTCGCTGCTCGCGAGGCAGCCCAATTTGCCACATGCTTTGCGGAGTCGTTTTCACGGGCCACAGGCCAAGAGATGAACTTGAAGCACCATAGCGTCCGAAGCATTCGTGGTTCTGAACTTCTGAAACTCACGGCTCTTCGGGGTCTGGCTTTTTGGCAGCCGAACCTTTGTGTCTATCCTTATGACTGGGGGTTATCTCATGTGTAGTGCAGGCATACATGTTCGCCTGTGTTTATATCTCTGCGTCTGAATCATCCTCACCATGAGTTATCAGCCAGAAAGATCACACACGCCCTTCTGGGAGGAGACCCGTCAGTTGAATTTGCTACAGAGTACATCCAGCGAGGAACCGTTTAGCTGTGGCAGCATCCAAGCAGGCGTGGCTACTCCTTGTATTCCCTCCAGTGGGATAACAAATTGAGCAGTCCCTGCTTTTCGGGCCTTAGGGCGTGCGCGCCAACGAGCGGCATGGGCACTTCCTACACTGCGAGATGTGTGACAGCGCAGGGTGCTGAACCTCAGTTAGGGGGCAGAGGTTGATAATCCTTGTAATTGCGTTTGTCGTGGGACAGGCATCGAAGGAGTGAAGTTTATGGGTGCGCTGCCCGGACACAGCCCGCAGTGGCGCCAGGCTCCAACCATGTTTGAAGAACTAGATTGCACCGACGCCAGACTAACCTGGCAATTGGATTGCGTGCAATGCCGGCAATCTGGCGGGATTTTCCCACGTTTGATCTTGTCGTGTTCACATCTGACTGGCCACAAAGGAGATCCCTCACAAAAAACTGGACGGGAAAATGCCCAGCTCCGCAGTGACGGGCAAGGACAGCGGAGGGAAGGCCCCGACAGAGGTAATCTCCTGGCATGAAGGACACGTCCTTGATTGAGTCTGGGTGCACTTGTCGGGGCTTCGCCCATCGTGTCTGGAATCCGAGCCGCAGCCTTGTTCCATCTCCGATGCCGTTCGATCCTGCAATCCGGATGTGATTCGGCGGACAGCACCTCTCGTTGCCGAACCCCAGCGTGTCCAAAACCATCGGCTGCTTGAGTTCTCCATCTGCTTCGAAAACTTTCGTAACGTGCACAGCCAAGAGCAGTACAAACCAACTTCGGAACGCCCGAGGCTCGTGCTGGGGGCTGGGAGTGTAGGTACTCGTCTTGCCGCAAAGACGCCTCATTGGCCCACCCTATGTCAGGATGCCAATGCTGACCCGCGCAAGTGGGCACTTCCCGATGGGGCAGAGGCCTGCGAACTCTGCTTCGTCGTGAGATAACGCTTCTCACTTGTAGAAGCTTGAAGTTGCCTTCTGCGATTCCCCAACTCCCAACCCTGGAGATTCAGACGTTTCTATGTGCCCTCAGGAACGACAAGCTTCGCTGGTGCATTCTTTGGACAGGCGCTGTGAAGAAGCCTTCTGCCGTGGTTTTGTCCTTGAGAGCACGGCCCTGCCGGGCCCACAAGCGTGGGTCCCGGTCGGGGATTTTCGATTGCAGACTTCATGAAGCACAGTTGGGTGGATGCAAGTGGGCGCTTCTGCGGCCGCGCCACATGTGCAGGGGTGTCTTCGTGTCTGGACACCTGGATGCAGGACCTGTCTGATGTGGTGGGCTGATTCATCAGGTTAGTCCGACATGCTCGAGGTTCAGCTTGGCAGTCTGTTGCAACACGTACATCTCATATGCGCTTGCGCAGAACCAATTACCTCCAGCGAGTATCCCAAAGAGCTCTTCGGTAGAACTAGCACGAACAAACAGTATCCGAGCGCCAAGCCCTTGTCCGACCAGGAGTACAGCTGACTAAACACGACAGACAGGCATTCCTGGGCGATTTGACTTGCACCTCGGCCTGTTTGCTCAAAGTTGTTTCCTGCAGTATTCTTGTTGAGACTTCCAAGTGCGAAGTGTAGATGCTGTTGCACAATTCCGGGGTTCCTCCCCGTTGCAGCCCAGGTACACATGCCGAGGCCGATTCGGGGGTGGAGTGTACTGCAGACAGCCATGCCTTGCTTCTGAGATGGCGCAGTTTCTGTGTCAGCATGTGTTGCATCCAGTGCCAGACACCTCCGCTCTTGCAGCGCATCCGAAAGTGCTATGCCCTCCATGAGAGCACCGCAGCTTGAAGCCGCCCAGCCATTTGCACAGACGCGGCACACGTCCAAAGCTGCATCGGCCAAAGCACAACCTACGCCGGAAGCCGAGGGGGGGAGGGCAGGAGGTTGAGCTGTAGTGAGTGTAGTGTCGACACTTCGGACGTGGAAGTGCAGGATGTCCAGCTGGGGTGTCGCGTTGGAGCGCAGAGGGCTTCAAGCTGAAGCCGATCCAACAGCCACATCTTCAAGCGGTCGGAAGCCATGTAAGTGAAGCCAAACGGCCCTCCATGCCGTTTGGGTCCTGCAAGCCACCATTTCAACCCTTGCATTCGATTCGGATCGTTTCTTTCCAGTTTTCCCGCTGGGGGGGGGTTTTAGAGGAGAATTCTGGCTGGGGCTGAGGCTGGAAACGGATGTAAACCCCACAGCCAAGAAGTCAGAGACTTCCAAAGTTTTTTTGCCAAGAAGGCCTGAGCCCCGTTCCGAGCAAGGCTCCGTCGCTTCGAACCTGGGTTGTAGCCTCGGAGCGTGTAGTAGCTGTGCGTCTGTGCATGATCTGGGGAGCCAGGTTGCGAGGGAGCCGTGCCAAAATCGGTAGAGCTTGGCTTCAGCCTCTGTTTGCTGCTTGATGCACAGCTGCCAGATTCTGCCCGTGTTGGTGCGCAGCTGCCCAGGATAACTCCACTAGACAGCCCTCTGCAACATACGGCGACAAGCACCGAATTTCAAGAAGTAACGGCACCAGGCTGCTCACAATCTGATCCACGGTTGTTGTGCCCACTACTCTACTAACCCAACGGTAGGCCACGCTGCAGTAGGGCATGCTTGGGTCTTAGTCTCAGGTAGAAAAGGTGAATGGGGGCCCGGGCCATGCATGGGAATGAGAACTTCCAAGAGAAGCTTGGAGAGGACAGCATCGCGGCTACTGAGATTGATATCTCCAGCGAGGAGGAGCCTTCCAGGCGAAGTGAATCCTTGCTTTCCTTGGATTCAGGTCTCTTGGCGGTGCCCGCCCTGCCAGCTTCCGCCAGCTTCAGTTCAGCTGCTTGTTTCGGACAGGATGAGGATGTCAATTCAGGTGGAAGGCCACCGCGATTGCTACACATGCTGAAGGACGAAGAAGATCTCCCTTTGAGCATGCTATCTGCAGACTTTCCTTCGACACCTCGCTGCGCGGCAACCGGAAGCGATGACAGCAGCGACGTCGTGGAAGTACTGCCGACAACGCCCAAGAAGGCCAGGCCCAGAAGGGCACCCGAGGAGAAGGCGTTGGCAACGCCTGAGAAGGCACCGCGGCCGCAGGCGTCACAGGCGATGGCCTCGACGCCCAAGGAGAGGACGCTGGAAGCTTGGTTCTCACCGAAGTCTCCGAAGCAAAGGCGAAGATCGCCTGAGCCTCGGGCGAAAGCAAAAGCTAAGCGAAAGACCCTGGCCCAGAGCCTGAAGGCCCAGAGGCAGACGGCCAGGGCCAGGACTCAGAAGACTCAGGTGACTAAGGTCGACAAGGAGGCAAAGGCAGCCGCCAGAGCCGAGGCCCGCAAAGCCAAGGTTGCAAAGACTGAGCAGCTTCTCGCAGACACGATCCGCGGCGACCGCCATTTGTATGAGAAGCTGCTGTGCTTTGAACTCATGGAGATAGAGGAGCTGGCCGATAGGATTCGCTTAGCGAACGACCAGCTACGTTCCGTCGGCCGCAAGCGCATCCGGGACTTTCTCGAGGCCCAGGGCTTCGTAGTCACGCAGCAGAGGAAGATTCCACGGGAGGTCTTCCAAAAAGGATACAGGTAAGTGGCGTGCAAGCGCTGTGGTCCCATCTGAGCATCGAAGTCTCAATCCCATAGCAGTCACGAGACCGAAGGCTGGAATTGCAGACGCAGTCAAGAGGTGAGGTGTGCTGGCAGCAGCCAAACTCCGCGGCTCAGCATGGCTCAGCATCAGCTTCAGACACAGTGTTTCTGCGAGGCCCAAGAGCGTCGAATCCCCGACCTCGTCCCCACCATCGTGCGAGCCTCGGACGGCCCGGACGGGCCGCTGCAGTGTCCACAGGCTTACAGGCCGAAGACAACGCATACATCACGTGGGTTTCAGGCCTCACTTCAAAACCGATGGCAGTAGCAGTCCTACTTGCCAGGTTTTCAAACTCTTCCTGGTCCGAGGCACGTTTTTTTTTCAAGTGGGCTCGGATGGACTGGATGGGCTGGTTGTCAGGTTCTCGAGGGCTTGTGTAGGTATCGGGATTCAGGCCTTCAGCAGAGGATCATCTGAGCTTCTTTCATGCTTTTCGATCCAGAGTGGACTTATTGGCTCCCTGGCAGCTTTGGCTTACTCTCACCGTAGCTAGATGTGCCTGCCCTCCTGGGGAGGACTTTCGATATCTTTTACCGCCGTTTCCCCAGAATTGCGAATAAACCCAAGGAGCCTTTGCCTTTTCCGCCTGGGCCTCTTCCGCAGGTTTCTTCCCCGTTGCTGTCGCCCCTCCCTTCTCCGGCGGCGACCCCTGCTGCTTGCGTTGTTGGCTCTGGCATCGCAGGGTCTTCGAGCCTAAACGAGTTGGCGGGCTTCTGAAGTCTCACACCCCAAAGAGGCTCTACAGAAGCCCTCAAGGCAGATGTAGCACCAGAAGAGAAGGTGGTGATGCTTCTTGTTGCAGGTCGGAGGCTCGTTGAGTCCGGGCTCATCCCATTCACCGGATCAGGGATTATTAGTGGATGTGGTTTTCTGCTGGATATCAGGCCGAGTCCCGTGCGCCCTCGCCCCGGAAGCGGCTGCTTTCAGGCACTGGGGGGACGCCAGATTTGGCCTGTCCTGCAGGGGTCACACAGGTTGCGTCTTTGGAGCCGCAGAGAATCTGAGAAGAGGGGTCCAGCGCGATGTGACTTGTTGTGATTCGGCGGTGGCTTTGTACCTGTCGCAACATGACCTGCTGCAGAGGTTTCCTCCCAAAGCAGATGGCCTCCTTACGCCGCGAGTCACATGAAGTACGGCTTTACCAAAGCTCGTATGCAGATTCCGCAGGCGATGATGCGACGTCTTCCGCAAGCTTCAGCACTGCCGTGGCCTGAGGACTTCCTGGCAGCTAACCCCTGTGTGCTCTAGCTTCAGACAGGGCGAGGTTGAGGGCTCCTTCAGCCTTCAGAGTTGTTTTGCGTTGAGGTTGGGCCCCGCATTCAGACCCTTCCCGGGAAACAACTTGCATAGCGCGCTCGTTGTGTTCTGAGGCCGACACGATTTGTAAGGTCAGCGGCTGAGATGCGAGGTTTTGTTGCAAGCGGAAAGGTCATGCTTCGGCGGTTTGAGCTCTGCAAGCCTTCCAGGTCGAGGTGGAGCTCGTAGAGGAACCGTCCGCACCCGTGCTGGGTTGGGCGAAAGTGTCATCACCCTGCGTGAGCGCCCCGGATGCTAGAGATGCGAGTCGTTAGATTCTTCGGGCTGGTCGTGGGCCCATGACAGTCCTCCTCAAAGTTGGACCTTGCTAACCTAAGCAGTTGCTCCCATTCGATTCGGAAGTACGCACTACAAAGAACAGGTGCACCCGACATGCAAAGCACAAGTCAGACACAGCACGGCCGCAGCAAATGACAGAGTGTGCCCAGCGCCAGTGAAGCTACTCGCAGCCAGACCCCCAAACGCAAAAAGCCTCACTTTGCCGCTGAGGCCTGGATGGAGGTTGACCTGGACAACGAACTCGCACGAGCGAAGGTCCTTACCGCTTGAGTGTGGAAATGAACAAACAACTTATAAGAACTGCAGGACCACAACAACTGGTGGGCAAAGGCAAGGCCTTCAAAGCTGTCGGGCGAGTTCCGGCAAGCGTGGGCCCCGTCTTAAGATTCGAATCTCGAGCTCCACCCTCCAGGCAGCCTGATTCAGACTCAACGCTATTGCAGCTGCCGGTGCCCGTCACCTGCTTATACGAATCGTCGGGATGTTAAAGCGGATGTTAGTTTTCAGGGTTCAAGCTCTTGTAAAGGGTTTCGGGGTTCATGAGGATTTTTCCAATCTTGGCCTTGACGGTGTGCTCTTTGTGAGACCTCGTGGATAAGGCCACTTCCTGCATTCGCGCGGAGCGGCGCCGCACCCTCGAGCGCTACGAGGCGGTGGGAGGACCCAGGAGCCCAAGAGGGGGAGAGTGAAGAAGAGGGCTTTCTGGACAGTTCCGCTTTCAACTCCTCATTCTCGGTTTTGTTTTTCGTTTCAGTTGGAGTCGATGTCTTCTGGGATTGGAAGGTGTTGCGAGGTTCGGATTGACCTCGGTGACCGCTGTTCTCTGCTCTGCATTGTGCAGGGTTTGGAAGGCAGTTAACTCGATGTGGAGACAGGAGTTGAAGCTTTCGGGATGCTCCAGACTCAAGCGGTCCGCTATTCAGGGCACGGCCATGCACGGCCTGTGCGGGTCTTTTCGGAAGCCTCTGAGGTTGCTGCCATGTGGCGAGAGCTGAGTGTGGACAACGAGGCCGTCTGCAAGGGTTGAAGTCAAGTAGGCACCCTCCACGCACTTCAACCTCTGAAATTTGTGCGGGGTGGTCTACGTGGTGGGCATTTTATGACCGTCGTTTACACGATCCATCGCTGACACAAGATTCCCTTGTCCCCTCTGTACTGCGAGCACGCTTAAGTGTTCGTCGCTGTAAAACCCTTCGCCGTGGCTTCTGGCCTGAGTGGCTCTTGTCGCACCGTGGAACCTTTGCTGGATGGATTGGCTGTTACATGCTGATTCAGTTTATTCCATGAAGTTCTCTTCTCCAGCGCTGATGACATATGGAGTCATTCTCATACAGACCTGCCAAGGTGCTAGGAAGATCACTCGTTCTGTGGAGGTGCTGCACACTATCCTCGGCTACGGGACGGAGCGAGCCACCATGGTGATTGTCCACCAGGCAGATTACCGAGAGCACAGGACCGTGGAAGGGAACTCGCATGTTTGCGTTTGCAGCTCTGCCCATTTCTATTGTAGTTGAACAGTTGAACATAGCAGAAGGTGAAGCTAAATTTTCTATTTTCCTTCCTTTTCCTTCCTGATGCTGCAGACAGCGCCAACATTTCACGGACTGCGCAACTTCACTTTCGCGAAAGATCGCATCCGCCTCAGCACGAGTTAAGCCCAGAGCCACATTTCACCGGCCACGAGCTCTAGGAACGGACTTCGCTTCTGAGGTCGCTTTCTGACATTCGATTTCTTCCAAGTAGAGAGCGCTCCATCGGCGTAGCTGCATTCCTTCTTCGGGTACCTCGGTTGTTTTCCGATCCCAGCCCGGGAGCCCCGGTGGATGGTGCTCGTCTTTTTGCTTCAGCTCGCGTCAGGTTGTCATCTCTTGCTGGCGCAAGGCTCGAAGGTGGGACGAGCACCTCCATGCAGGGACTGCCGAAAGATACTCCGACCCTAAAGTACAGGCGCCCAGGAGCGCGCAGGGCGACGGCAACATGGGGAGATATTTGTAGGATCTGGGTTGCAGTATCGTATGGGATGTGAGTCGTAAACCTGCGACCCCCCGAACACAACCGAACAGGGGTCGCTCAGCTGTTGTACTTAGGGCCGCGTTGTGGCGTGTCTTTGTCCCGTTCATGCTATTTTTCCTCATCGGGCTTCCAGCTCCTCGCAAAGTTAGCTTGCAACTGCCGCTCCACAGAAACGTTCGTGCTCGGATTGATCTTCATCACCTACCTGTCTTGGACAACGTCTATCCTGAATCTGCAAGTCTGCAAGGCCATTGCGTACCTTCACAAGAGCGGTGTCGTTCACGGACATCTTTGCCCAGCAGCTGGCTGAGATACACGTCCCCAACCCTGATTACGCTTGATGATCCGTTTCTTGCACAGCGAAGTGGTTGCAATATTCGACACGGGAGTGTCCAGGGATTCTGCTCGCTCGGCGGGTTGCATGGCCTTGCACAGCCAAGGAAAGCTTTCTGATGGATGAGACGAGCTTAGAGCCTCGTGCCGCCAGCTTAGCTTTGAGAGTTCTCCAGCGGCAGTCTCGCGCCGTCCGCTTCTATCCCTTTGAGGCACCGGTCTGTTGACCCTGAGGTCCTGCGTGCCGTGCTACTTACCATGAGAGGGTTCCCTGAAATGCAGCCAAGGTGAGACTGGCATGGACCCCCGGTCAGCGCCGGAATGAAGGGCGGCTTGGGTCTGCAGGGACTATCGGGGCTGGGTCTGGGACTGGGGTTTCAACATCTCAACACTGCCTAAGCTGTGGGTTCGTTACTGAGGGCCTTCTGGGTTATGGGAGAGAGGCCATATTGAAGGCATCAAGTTCATGGGAATATTACCAGAACGGTCCGTTCTGAACTTTTGCAAAGTCACCGAAGTTACATACACACACACGCATAGATGCATACATGCATGCGCGCACATCCATACATATGCACATGCGTTGTTGCACTCATCGGCTCGTTGATTCATTGATTAATTCATTGCGGCGGTTTTGTTTCCTTCATTTGTTGGTTCATTCGTCCAATCATTCAGTCATAAATTCGTTCATACATGCATACGTATGTCCATGCATACATAAGCACATAAACACACGACGACAAATCTATGTACACACATATATATATGTACACATGTGTGTACGTGTATGTATATACACACGCATATTCACATACATACAGACATACATGCATACATACGTACATACATACACATATCTACACATCCATACGTCCATCCGTCCATCCATCCGTCCATCCATCCATCCATCCATCCATCCACACATAGGCACATACATACATACATACATACGCAAGTATGTGTAGATGGCTTTCTATAGCTATATATGTATATGTGTGTGTTTGTATGCATGTAGATAAACATGTACATGATATATATATATATATATATGTTTTTTTATTTATTTATTCACGCACACACACACACACACACACACACACACACACACACACACGTGTACACGCGTACATACACACGCGTGCACATATGCACATCTATGCATACATTCATGCATAATTACATACATGCAGACATACAAAAAATCGAATACATACGCAAGCACGCACGCACACACACACACACACACACAGACACACACACACACACAGAGACACAGACACGGACACAGACACAGACACAGAGACGCAGACACAGACACAGACACAGACACAGACACAGACACACACACACACACACACGGACACAGACACAGACACAGACACAGACACAGACACAGACACAGACACAGACACAGACACAGACACAGACACACACACACAGACACACACACACACACAGACACACACACACAGACACATACACAGACACACACACACACACACAGACACACACACAGACACACACACACACACACAGACACACACACAGACACACACACACAGACACACACAGACACACACACACACACACACACACACACACAGACACACACACACACACACACACACACACACACACACACACACACACCCACACAGACACACACACACACACACACACCACACACAGACACACACACACACACACACACACACACACACACACACACACACACACACACACACACACACACACACACACACACACACACACACACACACACACACACACACACACACACACACACACACACACACACACGCGCACACACACACACACAAAATATCTACACACACACAAAATATATACACACACACACACAATATACACACACACAATATACACACACACAATATACACACACACACAATATACACACACACAATATACACACACACACACAATATACACACACACAATATACACACACACACAATATACACACACACACAATATACACACACACAATATATATATATATATATATATATATATACCTGGATCGCTTCTGTTGACGCTAAAAGTTGGAACCTGCCACCGGTGGCCTGGAAAGTTGCGGCTGCAAAAATCACTGAACCCCGGATTGGCTTCAAACCATAAAAACCGGAAGTTGGAAGTCGAAAACCCTTTAAATCATTCCCATACCAGCAACCCGCGAGCTCAAAACCTTTGGGGCCGGACTCGTTGAGAGACCTTTTCACAGGACTTTCGCAACACAGATCTGGTACTTGTCAATGGTTGACTCAGGCATTCTACGGGGCTGCACGGTTCGCGTAAGAGTGGAAACCTTGTTGATGAAATCCTCGGGCATTTGACACGAAGAAGAGAGCGGGTTAACCGCAAAGCCATGATTTCTGTAATCTGTTTCAATCTCCAGAATCATGTGGCATAGAAAATGCCACTTGGGATTGTATTTGAACCGGGGCCGTTGCAGTCCCATGGCCAGACCAGCACATGCAGCATAGCCATCCAGCATAGCCTTGGCGTGCCGTAGAGTGTTCTTCAAGCGGCGGCCTCTCAAGAAAAGACCACCACGATACAAAGCCGACATGAAGAAGTTGGAATTTTTTAAGCATTCAAGAATCTTCTCCAAGTAAAGTCTGCATTCGCCAGGGTCCAGGTCTGCATTTTGGAGAATCAAACTGTATTTGTGGACCAAGTATTTCAGCACCACAACAGTATCAGCTCCTTTGAACCACGTCCTTACAGTGGATTCGAACTACAATCTGTGAAATCAACCACTGAAAGATGGCTTACCTATACGAGTGGAAATCCACAAACTGCTTTGGAAGGCAAGAATCCCCGAAGGATATTCAGCAGAAGTACTCATGCCAACAATCTTCTTTGTCATGCCTGTCATGTGCAGGTACAACTTGCTCTTTGCAGCGAAATCCTTGAGCTCCTCATAGACAAATTCCAGACTCGGAACCACACCAGTTTTTGCGGACCCAGTCAGATCGAAGTCTATCAGAGTAGCCTTCGAACACCCAGCAATGGAACACAATCGCAGTTGCGGAGAAGCAAAGAACATATAAAGGTATGGGAAAACTGTATTCACGAGTGCTATGAAGGGGATCGAAAGTACAGGGAGCTATAACCCTAAAGCGAACCCGCAATTACAGGAAAACACACGTAACAACCTTTTCAAACAAACCTGAGACCCTAGTAGAAACCTTTGTATATATATATATAAACCAAAGCCACAGAAAAGCGTATCCTAAAACCTATTTTTAGAAACCCGAGCGGAAAGTATTGGAACAAACACCGAAAATCTGCCATGGCC